AAATTAATGTAAAATATAATCATTTGCATTGCAACTCAAATAATATAACCAACACTTATAGCAACAAAAATATACACAGTAAACATACTTCTAACTAAATAATTAACCTTAACATTGATAAAATCAAACTAATATCTTCCTCCAAACCATAGCCCATGGTTCCCAAACATAATTTTCCTCCTAACCTTAACTCCCATTCATAATATTTCAATCCACCATTTAAACAAAAATAAAAAGTGCGTCATTACCTTGAACGAGTCCGAGGAGGGAGGGAGGCGGCCAGGGAATGAAAGGGAAGGGAGGGAGGGAGGCGGCAACGGAGGGCCGGGCGCCTACAACACTTGGGAGTGGCGGGAGGACGCGGCGCGGAAGTCGTCCACCGCGTTAAAGAAGACAGAGGGAGGGCGACTCGCAAGCGATATTTACCTGGCTCTGCCGCGCCACCGATCAGGGCGTGTCACTGCCGCACCAAGATCGGTGACGCGGCAGACCCTGCCACATCACCGGTCAGCGCCCCGATCGTCGCCACGTCATCCCTCTAGCCGCGCCACCATGCATGGCGCGGCACAGGCGTTTCGCCGCGCCAGAAAAATAGGCGGAGGCAAAAGTGTTAGTTTTGAAAAAAAAACAGTGTTAGATTTAAAATTAGTTTACAAAAAGTCTTAAAAATAAAAAAATTCTCTTTGGTCGTGTCAACTTCTTTTGTTTTTAGCTACTAGGCCTGTCTCGGTCGCATAGGACGTGTTTTCTGGGCATTCTGGACTGATAAGCCCGGTTAGTGCTGGTTTGTTGTTAGAGAAAAACACTGTTGGCTGGTTGATAAGTCCTGGCTGAAATCAACAAGTGAACAAGTTGAAATGCAAGGCTAAAGTTTAGGGTGTCATATGAGAGTGTTTGGATAGTAATAATAAAACAAATTACAGAAATCCTCAGTACTCCGCAGGACGAATTTATAAAGCCTAATTAATCCATCATTAGCACATGTAGCTTTACTGTAGCACCTCATTGTCCAATCATGAACTAATTCAGCTTAAAAATTCATCTCGTAAATTAGTCGTAATATGTGCAATTAGATATTTTTAGTCTATATTTAATATTCTATGCATGTGTCCAAACATCTGATAGGATAGGGACTAAACTTTAAGGGAATAACTAATCAAGGTCTAAGTGGAATATGTTGTCATTCTCCACTTTTGTATTGGTAATCGTCCGGAATTACTCCCACACGTCCGTAAGCTGTGCAACATAAACAGTTGGAAGATTCGGTTTAAGGAAGAGATTGGCTTGATTTGTATCGAGGCCAAACCGAACCTTCCTGGTTCCCTTAATATGTATTTTGAGAATTTACATTAGTTTTTCTTTCGCTTTTCTGTTTGAGCTTGCAAGCTCCTTTTTGCACATCTTGTGCACTTGTAACTTTATTCCATCAATGATTAATACAAAAAAATAGGTGGGGGAATTCCCCCACTGGGTCCTCAAAAAAAAGAGCCTGTTCGCTTGTTGGTTTCAGCCAGCCCAAACCAGCCAGCCAACAGTATTTTTCTCTCACAATAAACCAGCACCAGCCAGCCCAAACCAGCCCAGAAACCAACCAGCGAACATGCCGAAAAGTTCTTAGGGGACATGTAGGAGATTGCCCTTATGTAAGTTATCTTGTTAGTTAATCTTTTATGTTTAAATAGGCCTAATCTCTTGGCAAGGCTATGCTTGATGCATTAACTGCTAATAGTTAGCAGCTAGTAGGAAAAAAATCAGCTAATAACTTTTTTATCATGAAAATTAGCTAAATGGTTTTTTTTCTCTTTTTGAGAATTAAATAGTACAATGCACCCACACTCACCCATATGAACTCAAGCACGTAAACCCTATCCCTACGAGCTTCATCGAAGATTGGGCCGGCAAATACTCGAGATTGACGAAGACACCATAGGCGTCTCGCTGTCGTCGTCTACCATTGAAAGCACAAATACCATTAAATCATAAAATATTCGCTTCCACGAGGAGTTAAACCCAGATTATAAGATGCTACTAATACTCTTGTAACCAATAGGCTATAGGTCCTTTCGCAACTAACTCAATTATTATTTCAGCTCTGTTTGGACACTCCATCTCATATTTACTAGTAGTACTACTTTAAATCTTAAAAAATAGTTAGTAACACTTAGCTTGGGGAAGCCGGGCAATAATATTTTACTAGCTAGCTAGTTAATATATTTTGAACTATTAGTTCTACTATTAGTTAGGGTGTTTGGATCCACTGGTGCTAATTTTATAGCTACTAACAATTAGCACTGATGGACCCAACAGGGCCTAAGTTAGAGTGCTAGGAGACCTGAGCTACTGCACACTCTAACGACAATTCTAACCTTGTATAGATATAAAAAGTTGCTCTTGCACATATATCATAAATTTCTAACTTTATTATGAAGCAAAAAAACACAAAAATAAAAACACAATCTCTTATCAAGATTCCAAAACAATGAGCTACAAGTTTATTGCTCTACGGCCCATCCACACCCCATCTAATAATTCCGTGTCGAAATTTCTTCCGGTGGGACGAAGCCCTATATTGTACTCCCTCCATTTCAAATTAGACGTTCTGTTATGAACTTAGATATGTACTTTGTCTACATACATATTAAAAACAATGTATATCTAGAAAAGCCAAAATGTCTTGTAATTGAAACGTGAGGGTATGCATGTTAGTTTTTTTTTTTGTTAAGCTAGGCCTAATCTCTTAGTAAGTTGTGGCCTACGGTGGGTACTTATGGGACTAGACTACATGTGCTCTAACGAAAACCAAGAGCATCTCCGTCACATATCCTATTCAATCTTCTATAGCTAAAAAGTAGCATATCCATCATATATCCTACCCAATCTTATATAGCTAATAGCTAAAAAGTAGCATTTTAGGATATCGAGGATCTGTAGAAGATCTCCTATCCCATCTTCTATATGGCTATATCTATAATTTGTAAGAGATTTCTTAAAGAAAGCATCATTTCTCCTAAGGAGACAACCCTCTCTCCTCTGTTCCTAAAGAAATAAAATATACTCCATCCGTCCCCAAATAAATCAATTCCTAGAATCCGTACCACATAAAGTGAGCACCTTATGAAAACATATTTTATGATAAATCTAATGATACTAATTTGGTACCATAAATCTTGATGATTTTTTCTAGAAATTTGGTCAAAGTTTAAAAGTTTGACTTAAGACAACTCTAAAAATCTATTTATTCAGGGACAGAGGGAATAGGAGATAGACAAGTTTTAGGTAACCCGCTACATCTTATATCCTAAATTGATTTTAAGTTACTCTCCTAAAACAACTTATAAGAGATCTGGTGGAGATGCTCTATATTTGGACGATATCAAGTAATCTTTCGAAAAATGTTGCTATCCATAACTTGAAAGTATTGAACTTAAAAAAAAATATGAAAAGTCAGAATTGTCCTCAAGATACTTTGATAATAATCTCGTAAGTTCATTACTCAGTTTTACAGAATTGTTATAACAGAAAATAGTGGTCCAACCAACGCACATTCGGTGGGGGTACCTTTATATCTCCAACTAATTAACTCGTAGATTCCACGCCGTTGAGCTGAGCAAACAGAAATACAGAATGGCGACTGCCATGCTCATAACCTTTGGCTAAAAAGCTATGGAAATGTTGCTACCGTGATTGAGGAGGAGGTGGATCGTTGGTCTCACGCGGGGTACGGCCACCTAGCCGCGCTGTGGGCGTCCAGGGACTTTGGTTGATCTTCGCCGGTCGGAAAAGACGCAAAATTTGTTATTATGTAATACCAAGTTAGCGCCACAGCTTTTCTGTTGAAGGGTTAACTTTGTTCGGCCGCCGATCGGCGTTTACCTATGTAACAACTCATTTTCCTTCTTAATGATATACATGCAAAGCATGGTCGCAAAAAAAAAGGCTATGGAAAAGGCGAAAGAAATGTTTCAGGAAAGTACAAAAAGCACGGGAAAAAGGATAACAAAAAGGGCCCGTCCATGAGACCATACCGATAATGTATATGAGAGGAACAGTGATGGAGAGTTCATGCTTTTTTTCAGGACAATAATGGAAATGGAAAAGGAGACCCGGCTGGGTATCTGATCTGGATCTTGCTTGTCTGAAACATCAGATCGCAGAATGTTGCGACCATGTGCTTGTGTGCACGCGATGCACACTGACTGAAGAAATTCATGCGCACGACAACAGCAGAGAGGGTTACATATTCGAGAGATCAATTATGGTGCCACTACCATACAAAATTTCAGGGAACCCCAACATGCAAGAATGTTGCGGCATTTGCCCTCTTGTTCTGGTCGATCCAACTTTAGCGCTTTCAACACGCTTGTTTCTGGATGTAATGGTATGAAGATCCAACTGAACAATGCGCCATGTCGAGTTAACTAGTGTCGTTTTTTAGATGGACTGGACAGAATTTTTGTTCGCATAAACTGCTGATGGATGACCGGTAAGTATTTATTTGGTGAAAAACAGCCAAATACACAGTTCAGACCGATGTTTGACAAGTTAAAAACGAACAAAGGAAACATTTCAGACTAGACTAGAAACGCCTGACTCTTCAGTTTCCTCGGCTGCAGTTAGCAGGTACAGCACAGATCCGAACCTCTGCATCAGATTTCAGAGCTGAAACAGCGCAGAACGTTAGTACCACTCCACAACAACCGCACGTTGCGACGGACGTCCGCGTTGCCCAAATGCACATGCGGAGCGCTGATTGACACGGTCACACGCCCAGGCTCTCAGATCTCATTTCCAGTTTGCTCAAAAGATACATACATACATGGTCATGTTTCAGAGCTACTCTACTCCCAGTGTTCTGCAACCCTTTAACACAGGACAGATGAATTCATCGCAGCATGGCATCTCACGCCGGCTGCATCACATCACAGTTTCTACTAGTTTCCACAGACCTAAACTTGAACTTACCTTCCTGTGACACGGTACACTCACAAAGACAGTGAAACCTAGTCATCAGAATCCGACGTCAGATCCATTTCGGGGTAAAACGGGCGCAGCATCTTCGCCAGGTGCTCGCCCATGTCCTCGACCTCCTCCTTCCCGAAGCCCCAGTCACGGAGGACCTGCGAGCCCAGCGAACCCCTGGCGACGCCGAGCCTCTGGAGGCTCGTCGACCTCCTCTCAATGAAGGGCACTATGACGCTGCTCGACCTCAGGCGTGCTGCCATCGGCACTGAGACGACGTCGAGCGAACCCTTTGGCCGGGTTCCTTCTGGGTGGCTGTTGCTGAGGATCTCGCCCTGCTGGCCTACGCTGCTGCTGAAGATCGACGGGAATGGGAGTGGGATTGGGAGGGGGCACGGCGATAGTGAGAGGTGGGAGAACTTTGGTTTTGTCGCCCTGCCTTCCAGAGCAGAACAGACGGAGTCCTTCACCTGAGATATGGAAGCTCTTTTCCCGCCTGTATTATCAACAGAATGTAGATTAGCCAACTTCACTTTACTTTGTACAGCCTAAAGTTAGCCAGTTGCAAAATGTCTGCTAATAAAGTATTTACAAAGAAAAATCTAGCAGAGTAATAAATAGTACAAATAAAACTGATACTATGGAATAAGATAGCAAACCTGCATCTAGGGCTCCATGAACCACCAAAGATTCAACAGCATAAGGATCTTCATCCTCATCGCTGATTTCAGGGGTCAGAGAATGCAAGCTCCTCTGTATGTTCCTCAGATCTTTTCTATCTGGAAATCAAGAATATACGATCAGCAAACAATATCATTTTTTATTCACATCTGACCAAACAGGATCCTTGTGTCTGTGTACCTGTCAAAGAAGGGGCAGGCATTGCTACATCCAGCGCTGTGATCATGTTCTGCCTGCCTTGATCAGATAATATGTGCACAAGCTCACCGATATCAAGCTTACCAGATGAATGTGCTGAATCTGAGGCCGGGCCCACATGTCGTAGCCTAAATGGAACAGATAATGAATGTATTGCTGCTGCACAAATGGCACTGGAGTGGAAGTGTTTCTCATCTTTTATAGAAAGCAAAGGTGACAAGTAACCTGAAAAACCAAAGTCAAAAGGAAACACTGTTAGAGGGACACACATCAACAAGCTTTCACAAAACCAACAAATAATTCTGTATAAACAATGTGACAGTGATAGGCATGCTGACAATAGATGTATGTGAGTTATAACAGAATGAGCATTGCATTCACCAACAGTAGGTGTGTGTGAGTTGATTGAGGTGAAGGATGCAACATCTGATTGTTTATTTGGATTATGATCAAAGATCAGGAAACGAAACATTTGCAAAACTAAGGTCCAAGCACTGCTGAAAGAAGCCTCAAATTACTGAAAAGGATCACAAGTCCAATTATGAGTTTACTGTAGATTTAGTAGAATTATAAGGATTTGCAAATACAAACATGCTACAATGGAGAAGGGATAAGAGAATCACAAGTTATATGACAGTTATAAGCAATCAGAACCATACTTAGAGAAGGCAGTCCTACTGGTACCATCAGATTGCAGGAGTATGAAAGTTTTGACAATGACACAGCATCATGCAAAGATCTTATGATGGTTTCGCGCTGATTTCTGGAAGACCCATAGGAGTCTGGATTCCGCACACAATATAGCATTACAGGGGTATTTGTGTAATCATCAGCAATACTCTCCAAAAACTGTGCAGCTACACTGGCAAAGCCTCCAGAATCATCCACAAGAAACTGGATGCCCTGTAATAAATCAAGATAAACAATTTAAAAGGTCGAGTGAAATCAACAAAAAGGAGAGAGAAAAAATTTCTGCAAATTCACTAAATATGTAAGTGAACACAGCCCATAGTGTAAATGACTAACTGTAAATAGAGTGTTTATTGATAGTTTGCTGTAAAAAGACAAGACCTGGATATGGTCGCATTCTTCGACAAAGAACCTTAGCCTCTCATTCATCTCCTCCATTTGAGACCATTCTGAAACCACCTCCTTTGCAGTCCCATAGTTATCAAACTTGTCAAAGTCTGTCCATGATCCATACAACTCATACAAGCTCTGAGGATGATACTGAACTTTTGAATAAGCAGTCCAAAAATTGACTCCATTCTCTAGACTTTCAACCAGGTCCTTATCTTCAATATTTTCTCTGGCATTGTTTCGGCCATTGCTAGAGCTTGGGTTCTGTTCTTCTTCAGATAAACTTTGTAGGAACAAATTCCGCTCATGAGGTTTTGCTACTGATTTTGTTACATTTCCGGACCTGCAACAAATGGGATCAGTTATCACAAGATTCCATGATCCTATCATACTGTGTTACAGATTTGTGCTCTCTCATCTCTCAGAGTTAAATTCACCACTAAACTAACATACATCTCATAGCACCAATAGTACAAAAGCAACACTTTCAACAACAGGCAATGATAAGCCAAAAGTTGGACGATGTTCCAAGTAAAGGCAGATGTCATGAAGCAATTCTCAAGCTGCTGGATGAGTGTATGCAATGCATCATTAGAGAACTCAAGAATTATAGTACTAAGAGGCTAAGACTGGTAAATTGTGTCTTCTGGCACTGGCAGCAACAGTATTCTACTCGCCCCTTCCAAATTGTAAACCGTTTTGGTTTTTTTAGATACATAGTATAGTCATAATGTATATATTTAGGTATATAGCAAAAGTTATGTACGTAGAAAAGTCAAGACGACTTACAATTTAGAACGGAGGGAGTACAATTTTATGCAACTGGCTTTGTCTATTTATCTGAACTATAAGCAGCTAGATATACACATGTAAATTTCAGTCTGCAGCTAATGCATTTTCAGCCTCACTCATTGCTCAGACAACCCAAACTACACCGAACAACTGCCTAACCATCTTCAGCTCATAAAGGTGGAACGCCAAGGACGGATGATACATGATGAATTTAGTAAGGAGAAAAATGAAACATAGAAACAAATTGTACAAGTGATAGAAGTTAGAGCATTAGAACATCACTTGCCATGTGAAGATGTTGGGCTGATCTGCAGCAGCACTGCTCGAACCTAGAGTACCAGAGGAACTTAACGAGCCAAGAGACCCTGCAAATTGTCACCACCACGTTATTTACACTGCCAGAAACAAAACTACAAGTATGCAGCACTCGTCCACGATTGAGAAATACTAATGGGCACGCAAAGTGAGAAATGAAAACATGGCCAATCAATCAATTACCTCGAGAGCCTACTGACACCAAGCGAGGGCAGTAGGTGGCAACGCCCTGAACAAGTCGAGCAGTGTCAGTGAACTAACACGGAAATAACCAAACCACTATACTTGAGGGGGGGAAAAAAAGATGGCGTCCAAGGGAGTGAAAGCCTCTGTCTACCTGCTGTGTCTCGCCGGCGCGGTACAGGACGTCCATGTCCAGGGCGGCGGTGCTAAATACCGGGTCGGCGCCGGGGTCATCGGCGAGCCCGAGCAGCTCATCCTGCGAAGCAGAACAACAAGGTAAATTGCAGAGGCGTCATCGAGCTCTGGCACAGCGACAGCAAGGACCCAGGGAAGGAAGGATCTCCCGGGGAACCGATCAACTAATCACCTGGAAGTTCCAGAAGTGGGAGCCGACGAAGTTCGCGAAGCCGCCGACCTGCACCGTCACCACCTCCCTCATCCCTGCCTGCCCTCGTTGCTCCCACGGCGGAGGGCTCTGGATGCCCCTGGGAGGCTAGGCCCAAGTTGCTCCCACGGTGGACGGCGGGCGACTACGCGGCCGAGCGGGATAGCGAGCAGTGCCGCGGCAGAGCACTGGCGGGCGGCGGGCGGCGGCGCGAGTGCCATAGAGCGAGAGGGAGCGTCTAGGCGAGACTGCGAGACAGGGCATGGATGCTTACTAGGCTTGGGCTGCTGCTGGGTGGCATGACTGCTGTTGGGCTAAATGAATTTGGGCCAAAAGTCCGTGGGGTGTATGTGGGCTACTTGGGCCACGACTAGGGCCATGGCCCTAGTGGCCCTAGGCCTGGGTCCGCCCCTTGCAAGAATGGATTAGGTGCCAAAAGTGTTTAGCTGCTAGTTTGCAGGATCAGGAATTTAGAAACACACAATTTTTCAACTGATGTTTTTTTTAAAAAGGTTCCAAAACTTCATTAGCCATGATATTAGACAATTTGCCTTGAAGATACGAAATAAAAAAATCTAGAATTTCTTCTTTGTGAAGATAATAATAATGCAAAAAAATCTCAAGTTGTCTCACCTCCGGTGCCTCTTGACTTTTCTTTTCCCTATCTTTTTACTAGTAAATATTATGGTAGTTTTCTGATATAAATTATTTTCAAGCCAAAGCTAAAACCAGGCTTTGAGCTTTTTTTTTTTGACATTGCTGGAAAGTGGAGATGGTTGGCCCCGTTCGCTTGGCTTATAAGCTAGGTGAAAAATACTATTTATTGATTTGTTGTGAAAGAAAAATACTGTACCATGACTTATAAGCCAGGCTAATAAGGACGTGAACTTTGGTAGGGCTCACTGATTTTCAGCCTCACTGATTTCTCCTCATGCCATTTTCTCTTTGGCAGGGCTCCTGCAGGGGCTTCAGCTCCGGCTCCTGCAGGAGATGTGTCAAACGCCTGTTTTGGAAAGGGCTTCGCATGGAGAGCCGGTCAAGAGCTGGAGCCATTTTTTGCCTGCGCAGGAGAAGCCTCAAAAACGAGCTTCGCGTGGCTCCTTGTTGTGGGTTCACGTCGTCTAGTGCGAAGGAACCGTTTTGCCAAACGTTTTACAGAACGGCTTCTACTCCTCTCGAAGAGCTGCTCCTTCAGAGAAGACAGAACCGGAGCCATTTTCAGATGAGCTAGAGCCATGCCAAAATGCCCTAGATGCAGAAGAAATGGCATGAAGAGAAATCGAGAAGAATTGAAGCGAGCCATAGCGACCCCGGTTCCCTGACTGAGATAAAACCGTACGGCCTGCACGGCAATCGGGATGCCACGAATCCGATCTCATCATTATCAGTGCCTTGTCTAGATACCCTCAAAATTCCAAGTTTTTTCACTCTCTCTATCACATCAATTTTTAGCCGTTTGCATAGAGTATTAAATGTAGGTAAAAAAATAACTAATTGCACAGTTTAGTTGGAAATCACGAGATGAATCTTTTGACCTTAGTTGGTCCACGATTGGACAATATTTACCAAATAAGACGAAAGTGCTACTATTCATCGGGTTGAAAATTTTTTCAATCTAAACAAGGCCCAGGGCGTGTTTACATACAAATTTTTTTAGGTTTTAGCTACTGTAGCACTTTGTTTGTATTTGATAATTAGTATCTAATTATGGACTAATTAGGTTCGAAAGTTTCGTCTCACGATTTCTCACCCAACTGTGCAATTAGTTTTTTTTCGTCTACATTTAATACTCCATGCATGTGCCACAATATTCGATGTGATAGTTACTATACAAAAATTTTTGGGAACTAAACGGACCCTCAATATCAATATCTGCTGGCCCGTATAAAACACGCAAGATCAAATTGAAGTTGAGCAGCTCAAGAAAACCTCAAAGGATGCTTTCAGTTCTTCGAATCAGAACACAGTCAAGGAGGAACGATATCAGATGACCTATGAAAGAACACACAGCCTGATCGTTTGGCTGTGGCTTATCATAAACGATCGTAAATTTTCAGCCGAAACAGTATTTTTCTCTCACACAAATCAGTCTGGCTTGTCGTAAACGATCATAAATTTTCAGCCGGAACAGTATTTTTCTCTCACACAAATCAGTCTGGCTTGTCGTAAACGACAAATCAGTCTGGCTTGTCGTAAACGATCATAAATTTTCAGCCGGAACAGTATTTTTCTCTCACACAAATCAACCAGCAACATTTCTTCACGAACCAGTCAACCGAACGTGCTGACAATCAAGAAGGCAGGAACAATATCAGATGACCAATGAACCGTGACTGGAATCCAGGATGGATGAATCTGCATCAGATTGCCAAAAAAAACAGCAGAGATGACGATGTATGTATTTCCGAGTCAGGCAGCAACGCTAGCAATCCTCATCCTCCTTTCGTAGATACAAAAACCGATCGATCTCCATGAAGGCGATGCGATACAGCCTCAAGATTGTACAATGGGATGTAAAATTAAGAGTAAAATACATGGATAGTTCATTAACTTGTGAGGGTGTATCGATTTGGTCCATCAGATTTGAAAGTACATTTTTTAGTCTAAAACCTTGGTGCATAAAGAGTCAATACCCTTCGTTTTATGTTTATATTTGTAGAAACCCCCTATATTTCTTTTTCTTTTATAGGTTTATCCTTCACGTGCAAAGGGACCGGATCAGGGCGTTCGCTGTCCAGCGCCATGGCCACACACCTCCACCGGCTGCTGCTGCCACTGCTGCTCTTCCTCCCTTCCACCCACCTCTTCCGCCGCCGCCGCCTTCCAGCGCCATTCCCATCGGCGTCGAACTGGAACTGCACGCGGCCCATGACGCTGGTGAAGTTGGCGAGCATGACCTTCCGGAGCAGCTGCTCGCTTGGTCAAACACGCGCTGAGTCCCAACGCCCCGCCGTTGGCGTCGCGGATGTTGGGGTCGGTGGAGAAGGTGACGTTGCCGCCGGCTTCGGCGAGGAATTGGTCGAAGGTCGCGCCCAACGGCTGCATGGTGGACCTGATGGCTCGTGTCGGAAGGCTGGAAGGACGTGGGACACGCGTGCTCATCGAGGGCATGTTGACTGTTGAGGCAATCGTGCTGCGGCGAGACCGTGCTCGACCTCGACGGCTGGAGGGTGAGCGTGCACGGGAGCGCCAGCTCTTCTTGCTCGGATAGGTCCCGCGGCGTGGGCGCGTGGAAGACGATGACCATTTACGCGCGCACGTACACACGCTTCACGCTTGGCTTGTCACCGAGCTCGATCAGTTCCATCGTGGCCGCCGTTCACGCAGCTAGCGAAGCCATCAAGACGTATGTACAGTGCCGCTATTCACTAACCATTCTGCCTAGCCCAAGCGACATAGGAGCCGAGGTGCACCGAGCGACTCCGACGTACTCGCACCCGCTGCTGGTCGTGGACGTCGGTCCAACCCGGGGCCCAAGTACCCGTTGTCATTGGCGCACGTGCGCGCGCTCCTCTGCGTGCTGGACAAGCTGCTACGCCTCCCGCTGGCCCGCGCCGCCGTCGACGCTGAAGGTCTGCTGGACGGCTTCCTCGTCTGGCCGGCGCCCGCCGCGTTCTCGCGCAGATCGTGGTCGCGCTCGCAAAGACGCGCGGAGCTCGTGGCGAAAAGAGGTCAGACGCGTTGATGTGGACAAGTCCGGGCTGGCGTGGACGACGAAAACGCGTGACTCCATCGAGTTGGCGCGCTCCAGGAGGTCCGCGAGCATGGCGCGGTCGGCGCCCGGCAGGAACGCGGCCTTCTATGACACCCTGGCGCACGTGGCCTGTAGCGCGTCGGCGTGCGCGATGCCGCGGTGGCGGCCGTAGTCGTCGTCAACGTAGACGGCGGTGACCTCCCTCCATCCGTATAGCGACACGACGTCGGCGATGGCGGCCATCTGGAAGCGGTCGTTGTGCATACTGCGGACGAAGTAGGGGTACTGCAAGGAGGCGAGCGCCGGGTCTGTGGCAGCGAAGGACACCAGCGACACACGTAGCTCGTTGGCAACGACGTGTGCAATGACCGAGGACTGGGGGCCAGAACGGGGGGAAGCCCGTCGTCCTCGCGAAGGATAAGCCTGTGAAAGAAAATGAAATATATAAACATAAAACAAAGAGGTATGGACTCTTTATGTATCGTTGATAAGGTTTTGGACCTAAAAATGCACTTTCAAACCTGATGGACCAAATCGACACACCCTCACAAGTTAATGGACTATCATGCATTTTACACTAAAATTAGCAACACATCTCATCTCATATGCCATACTCTCGATCAACCCCTAGAACAACACGCAGCGAACACTCACTAAGATCAGTTCATCACATCCTCCTCTCTCTGCCAAACAAAAAAGAATCCTCTCAACGGCTGTACAAAAAAATGCCTCATCCGCAGTGTCCTCGTCATCACCAACGCTGCACCATCCCTTCTATACTGCTGTAAATTGTGATCCCGTCCAAGGACACGGATCATCATTTCATCAAGACGACGATGCCTTTGTCCCGTGCGGCTGCTGCACCTGCATCTCCCAGCCGTAGCTCTCCGACCTGCCGCCGCCCTCGGCCTCGTCGCCGCCGTCGCAGCTGTCCCCGGCGGTGGCCGACATGGCCCTGCTCAACACCGTCAGCTGCAGGGGCCCCTGCGGCGACCCTGACTGCGACTGCGACGTGCTGTGCTGCGACGTCGCGTACTGCTGCTCCGGCGCCGACTGCCACAGCCCGCCCGCGGCCGCCGCCACGTGCTGGTCGCCAACGCCGCCGCCGTCCGACGACGCGCGCCGCGTGTGCAGCCTGTATTTCTGTAGCAGTGACAGAAGGGGAAAAAAAGACTCGTGAGTTTCTTGAAACTTCGAATTGCTTGCAGGTTGTCTGTATCCCAAGAGGATGAAGAACAGGGCTCGTTGCGTTGCGTTACCTGCAGGTGGCTCTTGACCTCGTCGTTGGTGAGCCCGTCCACCTTCATCAGCTCCCTGATCTGCTTCGGCGTCGCAACTGCAGCACGCAAAAACACAATCGCGAATTCAGCAGGAGGAATCGAACGAGACCAAGAAACATATGCACTGCATGCACAGACAGCGCAGGCAGAGCAAGGCTGGCAACCGATCCTATTCCTGACCTTGCGTGCCGCCGAGTCGCTGCAGGGCAGCGACGAACCGGCGGTGCAGCTCGGGCGACCAGCACCTCCTGGCCTTCCTCTGCTGCTGCGCCTGCGCCTGCTGCTGCTGGTGGTGCTGGCGCTGCGCCCCGGCGGCGTCCGTGACGGCGCTGCTGGTGGCGCTCGGAGCGGCGGCGGCCGACGGCAGGGACGAGAGGGACAGGTCCGGGACTGGCGTGGCGCCGTGCTTACCCGCCGCGTCGTCGGTTGATCTGGCCAGTGGCATGAACGCGGTGACCACCTGGTGTTTTGGAATTTGGCACAACAGGTTATTTACCAGAAGGCATGTGGTGTACATTCCTTGTAGTACTAATTAATATGTGCGCATGTATTTAAATTAGCATACTGTAGTAATAATACAAAATTTAGCTAGCTAATGTGATTAAACTTGGGTGAACAAAAAAAAATGAAACTAGTAGATTAGGCTCTTTCTTCTTGTGGGTAGGAGATTTTTGAACTTGAACTCATCTTTGGCATGCTGTGCTTAAGAACAACTAAATGAGGTAGCAGGGAAAAAAAAGGGTCTGAAAACAAACCCATTTTTGGGTTTGTCTCGCTGTAAATATCACATGCTCTGTTTGAAACAAAGGTTCTTTCCTTTTTCTACTAAAATTCGCCTCTTTTTACTGGGTACAAAGGTTCCTCTGGTTTTTTCCTCCCAGTAGGAAGTATCACATGCTCATGCTCTTCAAATTAATTTGCAATAATCTCGGTTGAAACAAATTCGCTCAAGTGCCAGTGTTCTTTGTTAAAAAAAAAGTTATGAATTAGCTACTCATGAACCTACGAGTGTACAGTACGAAATTAGCCGCGAACTGTGCTAAACACAGCAACAACGAATTTCTGCACCAAAAATTCGTTTCGAAAAAAAAAAACCCGGGACGTCTCCCTAAAGAGTGATGAGCCCCGCCCGCGTTCGGCGTTCCGTACCTTGTTGTGCGCGGACGGCCTGTGCGCGGCGGCGACGCCATTGGTGTTGGCGGTGCTGTCGTCGTGGCTGCCGCAGCTCCAGAGCTGCGCGGAGCTCATCCAGCTGCGCTTGTCGTTGGCGTCCGCCTCGTCCTCCGCCTTGACGGCGGCTCCGTCCTTTGCCCCCGCCGCCGCCGGTGGCGGCTGAAGGGGAGCGGGCGCCGCCGCCTCGGCAGCAGGCGCGAAGAGGTCCTGCGGCGGCGGCGGTGGCTGGCTGCGGTGCTGCGCGAGCTCCTCCTTGAGCCACTCGATGACTGCACGCAGGACCGCACGGGGGAATCAGCAACGGCACGGGATCACCGCACGGTGCAGGCACGCACGCGGCGGAATTAAGCGGGGCCGGCCGGCAGTAGAAGTGAAGAGACGTAAGACGTACGTACCGTCGGCGACGAGGTGGACGCTGATGGGGAGCTCCCGTCGGAAGACCTCCATCTTGGCCTTCTCGGCCTCGAGGCTGCGGACGCAGTCCCGGAAGCGCGCGGCGCGGTCGGCGGCGGAGGAGCGCGACGCGGCCGCGCGCAGCGAGTCGGTGACGGCCCGCGCCGCCAGCGCCCCCAGCTGCTGCTGGTGGTCCTCCTTCTCCATCCGTGCCATCATCGCCGGCAGGCGAGGCGACCCAGCGTACGTACGTTCTCCTCCCTGGACTGGACGGCTACTTCACTTCGTGCGGGCGGGGGCTGCGGCTGGTTGGTCGCGTGCTGTTGGGGAAGGGAGGGAGGGAGGGGGAGTCCTCTCGCCGCGTCGGTCGGTTTATACCGGAAGGGGGAGGGAGCAGGAGGAAGAAGATTCCCGGGGAGGAGGGGTAGAAGGGTCATTTGGTGCGTGGGAGGGGGAGAAAAGATGCCGCTCCGCTTCTGCGGTCAGTTCCGCCTGCTGGGATCTGGATGGGGTGGGTGGGTGGGTGGGTGCGTGCGTGTGCGTGGAGACGAGAGGGTAGAGAGCACTGGCGTTTCGTCGCGTAACAGGCAAGACAAGAGGCGTCGAGAGACCGCTTCCCTGGCTTGACTCCGGTGAATGGGAATCTCGCTTGCGGGCTCCATCGGCGGTTAGCTTCGCGACTGAACGTATCGTTCGCTGATTTACTATAACAAGAAAATACTATTTATTAATTGAAAAAGTACGATCTATAAGTCCAGTGAGTAGGGCATAGCCTTTTTCCTCCCTCTGCCCTCTCAGCTCGCTCTTATCTTGGGCTATCTCCAATAACATTATCCAAAATACAAGACTTATTTCACGTTTGGGTAGCGCTACAGGTAAAGGGTTTCGTACCTATTTTTGGTCTTCTCCAAAATAGATCTCGCATATAGGTGTTCTGTTAGAGGCTGATATAGTACCATTCGAGACCCGTTTTAGATATGGATGCCCATATGCGACAACCATTGGAGACAGTCGTACCACCCGGGCCTTCTGTTTCCCAGCAATTCCTCGTCCCCACCTCCACCCGCGTGCTTCACGCCGGCCGGCTTTGGTCGTACGGTACACAAGACACCATAGCCTTCTCCTTCCCCTGTCTTGTTTTTTTTTTCATGTTGTCTCTTACGCTTTTCCTTTAGACCATGCTCATTTTTCGCTCTTTTGTAACACAAAAAACGTTTTTTTAATCTAACGACCCGAGATAATTTATGCTCCTCATGCAAAAAACTTTTTTTTTTTGTGAGGATGGAGGGCTGGCACGCAAAATTGCCAAACTTGGAGGTGGCGGCATGCATGGGATTTGGTCTCATCTCTCATGTCTGCAAGACTGCAACGCAAGATTCCCTCCCTCGCCCTTGGTTGTCGTTAGCCACGAGCCCCGTGCCTCTCCACTCCCACCAACGAATTCTCCTGCTGCTGCTTCTGATTCGGCTCCGTCTGCGTGCGTGCGTGTGTAATAAAGATCCCGTCCGGGAACGGGAAGGGAGGATGGTGAGGGGTACCTGTCACTCGACGGCCGGCCCGTTGGCATGGCTTATAAACCGTATTTTTTATAAATGAATAATATTTTTTTTCTTACAATAAATCAACTAACAGTACTTTCAGTCATGGGTCCTGTTCGGCAGGACTGAAAAATATTGTTCCGACTGATTGTTGTGAGAGAAAAATACTATTCTGACAGGACATGAACAGTGATCTCGTGAGGTGGCTGATCAGCCAGCCGAACACTGCCATGATTTATCAGCCAAATAAACCGGAAAACAAATCTTATTTACTCACTAGTATCTCCAAAATTTTCCACAAGCTTAGACATTTACTTAAATCGACATGTGAGGTTTCTGCTTTCGGATTATCATTATATTAATTGGGCCTACATGTTCATTATATTACTGACTTGGTCTTTACCTATTCTAACTTCATTTGTTAGACACAAGACAGACGTAAGAGATTGGTTTCTTACAAACAAAATCGCAGTGGCCGGAGTATAAACTAGTCAGTCATGTTATCTTAATCTAGACTTATATATATTCAACCTATTCGCTTGTTGGCTTTAGCTAGGGCTTATCAGGCAGCCAACGATGTTTCTCTCTCACAACAAACCAGCACCAGCCGGGCTTATCAGCCCAGAAACCAACCAACGAACATGCCGATTAAAGAACTTTCGTCGAGCAGCAATAGAGCGTGAATTGAATACTTTAAACGGTTGAATAGAGACACGTACCTGTTCGCTTGGCTAAAATTGGCTGAAAAAATAAGCCAAAGCTGAATTGTTATGAGAGAATGACACTGTTCCAGCTGAAAAAAAGCCGAATAAGCCTAAGCCGAACGGGGCAATAGGATGTCGAACGGAGATTAAGACCTTGTTTGGTTTGGCTCCTTCATGCAGCTAACTGGCAGGAAAAAAAATGACACCAGGTAACGACAAAAAATCAAAGATAAATGATACTCCCTCCGTATACAAATAAAACGACGTCCTGGCTCCTCGCGTAGTTTGCGGATAAAACGTCGTTCTAGCGCCGCAGCCCCTCCCCTGGACTTGTTTGCCCCTGGCTCATCGATCTCTGCGTGCAATTACTTAGCGCCGCGCGTGGGACGCTCGCCTCGATTCACGCCGCGCGTGCGACGCTCGCCCTCTCGTGTGGTCGTCTGCGTCTTAAAACCGCGCGCCGCTCGAGTACCAGCTCGCATCGCTGCACGCTGCGCCGCTCGTGCTCGGCCCCAACTCGCCTCGCTGCTCGCTGCGCCGCTCGCCGCGCCGCTCGCTGCTCGCGCTCGCTGGTCCGCTCGTCGCGCGCATGGCTTCATCGCGCTCGCCGGTCCGCTCGCCGCGCCGCTGAACCTTTCTTCCACAGGCGCTGAACTGCACGAATGTGTAGACCAAACTGAGCAGCAACATCTGTCGTATCATTCTTGTCTTAAAACTACAAAAAAATGGAGACAATGGGGAGTCGAACCCGCACCGCTCTCAACACCAGACACCAGCCCCCGCTGCGCTAGCCGGTAAGGGTGTGCAACTTTCTTGTATGGAATGCAGCCACAGTTGTATTTAATGGGGATAGAATGAGAAAATTTTACCCTAATTAATCACTTCTTGATATGCTAAATACTGTCCTAAACGTTATTTTTTACCAGTACGGAGGGAGTAAGTAGTTAGCGGAAGCTCCTCCAAACACGGCCTCAATCTTATCGAGAAAGAGAAGAGCATGTCATCGTCTATGTATTAAATACACCATCATGCAAAGCGTAGATGGGGTTTGTGGTCAGACGTGAAAACCACATGCACATCTCGTCTTGCTGGACCACATTTGTCTAGCGCAGGTGGTGGTGTTTCAGATCTCCTTTTCGATTCTATGACTATAAACTCCATCGATGTGTCATGAGATCTTGTGAGTTTTAACGGTTCAATTTGGATCATCTCATATCGAATTACTACACTCTAACCATACCCTATAGTTGGATACTACATTCGTGTAGCTCTTCTAATAGCTCGGATTTTTCTTTTCCAAGTCTCAACTCTAACTTAAACAGCAAATCTCCTGATTGGCCAGTTTTAGGTCCAAATACATGATACACACGATTTACTCAATCCCTTCGAGCAGTCTGTTCGCTCGTTAGTTTCAGCTAGGACTTATCAGCCATGGTGCAGTATTTTCCTCTCACAGTAAATCAGCATCAGCCGAGCTTATCAGTCCAGAAACCAACCAGCGAACAAGCTGAATGAGTATTATCTATGCACAGGTAAGCATCAACGTAGTACAATATATATTGTCGACATCTTCATGTCATCGTACCTGTGAAAATCAAGAGGTTTGCTCTCGTACTCGTACCCTGTTGGCCCAATAAGCAGCAAATGCAATTCAGACCTCACACTCTACCATCTCTGTACGACCATGCTAACAAAGCTATAATCACATCGGACATCAAGTACCATACACTACACAAAATTAAATAGCACTTAGGCCTTGTTTAGATTGCGAGTTTTTTCACTCTTTCTATCACATCAAATCTTTGGACACATGCATGGAGTATTAAATGTAGATAAAAATAACTAATTACACAGTTTGATTGTAAATTACGAGACGAATCTTTTGAGCCTAGGCTATGATTGGATAATAATTGTTAAATACAAACGAAAGTGCTATAGTGCCAAATACTGATTCCTAACCCCAATCTAAATAAGGCCTTGATGTTGAATTTCTCTCACAAAGTACTCATGTGTACTAAGTAGTACTACTATACTAATCACAAGGACGACCAAGTCTTACTCCAAGAGAGTGAGGTGTCGAGTAGACAAGGCAGCAAAACTAGATCTCGTTTGACATAACTCTAGATCTTTGCTATAGCACGCGGAGAAGCCCGAATGTTGACTTTGTTGGCTTCTAATTTATTTTACAAGAGACAGAAACTTTTTTTTAGAATAACTCAAGAGACTCTTTATATCTTTTCTAATTCAGAGGAATGAAGATTTTGGTAAAAAAAAAAACCCTCCAAGAATCTCTTTGGTCCTGTTCACTTGTCTTATAATCCGTATTTTTCAGCTCATTTTTTCAATCGGAACAGTGTTTTCTCTCCCAACAAATCAGCCGGAACAATGTTTCGGTTTGTTTTTTCAACGAAACGAACGGGGCCTTTAATTAGATACCTAAATATACGTTCTTTGTTCTTGATTTTTTGTTAGAGAAAGATGGAGAGCGATGATGACTCTCTAGAGTGGGTACAAAATATAGGAAAAACTGTTGGAGGATAAAAGACATATATAAAACGATTTTTACTTAAATAATAACTCTCTACTCCCCGGTGATTCATCTAGAGTGCATACACAATATAAAAAAACTGTTGGAGTAAATGAGAAAAGTTGTTAGAGGATAAAAAAATAAAGATTTATTGAGCAAATTTTAGAAAGATGTCTCTGGCCACGTGAAGAAGTCTCCCGAGTGATTCATCGGCAAGTAAAGTAAACTCAGTCGTCCACGTGGCCGTGGATCAAGCATCGGATAATGAAAAGATTCCATCGGCTGCCGTAGAGCGGTCGGAGGAATTATTGGCAAAGTGATAAGGATTCCATGTAGGAGTATGAGTGGGCCAGGGGAGAGAGAGAAAAGAGAGGTGCAGGTGCAGTGCGGGTCAGAGCGAGATCTCCTTGGGATTTTGTTATCGCCATTGCTGAAAGGACACGGCACGGA